TCAAATTTTCTGTACTGGATGGACGGTGTTGTACTAGTTTTCTATTGCCACTGTAATAAATTACTGCAAAATTGGTGGCATAAAACAACATGGACATATCTTAAACTTCTGGAGCTCTGAAGTTTGAAATGGATTTGATAGTATTTGGGTGTCAGTAGGGCCAACCACCTTCCTGAAGTCTCTAGAGGAGAATCTGCATCCTTACATTTTCCAGCTTTCCAGAGGCTTTCCACATTCCTTGGCTCATGGCCCATCATCCATTTTCAAAACTAGAAATGTCAGGCTAAAATCTCTTCATGCTGCTATCATTCTGTTTCTCTTGATTTTGCTTCCTTCTCCATTTTTTTTAAGATTTATTTTATTTATTGGAAAAGCAGAATAAGAGAGAGAGAGAGAGAGAGCTTCCATTCATTGGTTCGTTGGTTCATTCCCCAAATGGCCGCAATGGCCAGAGCTGGGCCAGGCCAAAGCCAGGAGCCAAGGAGCTTCTTATGGATATCCTGCTGCTTTTCCAGTCACATTAGCAGAGAGATAGATCTGAAGTGCAGTATCAAGGACTCAAACCAGTGCCCATATGGGATGCTGGCATTGCAAACAGTGGCTTGACCCCTTACATTCCACCACAAAGCTGGCCCCACCTTCTTCCAACTTTAAGGATCTTTGTGATTACAATGAGCAAACCCAGGTGACCAAGATAATCTTCCTATCTTAAGGTAACAAGGACTTGGGAAAGTAATAGAAGATGGCCCAAGTCCTTGGGCCCTGCCCTCGCGTGGGAGACCCGGAAGAAGCTCATGGCTCCTGCCTTCAGATGGGCGCAGCTCCGGCGGTTGCAGCCAATTGGGGAGTGAACCAGCGGATGGAAGACCTCTCTCTCTCTGCCTCTCCTTCTCTCTCTATCTCCGACTTTCAAATAAATACATAAATAAATAAATCTATAAAAAAATGTAACCAGGACAATTGTCAGCTGATTACAAAGGTCAGCTGATTATCAACTTTAATTACATATATAACCTTAATTACTCTTTGCCATGTAGCACAACATAGTTACAGATTCTAGAGATTAGGATAAGATTGTCTTTGGGGGAGCCATTCTGCATACAATAACTAGTGATGCCCATAGACTGTTTTGAATCAGGGACTATTTTAGACTACATATAAGAGTACCCTACTAGGTATTTTTTCATATATGAATCTTTTTAATTTACAAAATAAATAAATGACAGGAGAAAGATATATACATTCCACATCTACAGTACTTATTTCATTTCTCTGTATAGATCAGTCCCCAACTCTCCATCATGAGCTTGTGAGTGAAGAACATGTCCCTTATTGATTTTTGTTTCCTCAGCACCTAGCACCAGACCTGGCACATTGTAGAGACTTATTAATGTTTGTCAAGGTAATAAATAAAAGAAAAGTGCTTCTTCTGTAAAAGAACATTGTAGATTTGTATTTGTAACTGAGCTCAGAGCTGTACATATCTCGGAAAATGAATCTAGTGCTAAAAAATGGGGGGGAAAAGCTGAACATACACTATTTAAAAACCCATTTAAAATACATGTCACAGGCATTTTTTTATTATTTCTAAATTGGGTCATTCATCAGTGGAGTACATAGCAAAAGAAAGAGAACTGCTCCCCTAAACCATATGAATTCTTACTTATACTTCATTTTGAATCAATAGGGGCAAAGTCACTTCTAAAATATTATGATTCATGAACTTCATTTACTGCTCCTTCTTTTGGTTTAATCAGAATAACCATCTTTATATAGTACTTGAATTGTTTATATTTTATTGCATTGCCACATCTCATTATTATGTATTAAACGCTATTATTTATGGCCACTACTTAATCTGATGTGAGACAGAAAAATTATTGAAGGCTTGGCACCTCAGGAATAGGCATTTTTATAGGGATGAAAGACTGACTAGGAAGAGTCAATGGTCCTTCAGCTGCCCCTCAGATCATTAACTCCAAGTGGTTATTTGCTCCCAGGCACTGTCCTGTACCCAGGTTATTATTGCTGTGATATGTAGATGAAGGAGAGTATATTTTAAATGCTTTAATATGAGTCAATGCTCATGAAGGGTGCCAGATTGAAAGCATTGGAGTCTGAAGTCATTGGGTTATGCACTTGGCTGGTTCTAAGGTACAGAGGGATGCTTGACCTTGAATGACCACTCTGCAAGAGGCAGAAAAAGTAGTTTCCTGAACATCAAGAGTCTGACAGAGGAGCAGCATGGCAGCATCTCAAAGTTAAGCATTTTTATTAAGGAGGACAACTTGAGACTACTAACTAAACTTCTACTTGAATCTGTTTAGTGTAATGCCAGCACTGGTGTGTGCTGGGTGGGTGAGTCAGGGGTACTGGTGTTAGGATGCACACCGGCTTTAAGCCAAAGAAAAATAAATGGTCTATTACCAACTGACTAAATCATGTAAACAAGCAGCAATCATTTATTTTATTTAATTTTTTTGACAGGCAGAGTGGACAGTGAGAGAGAGAGACAGAGAGAAAGGTCTTCCTTTGCCGTTGGTTCACCCCCCAATGGCTGCTGCGGCCAGCGCACCACGCTGATCTGAAGCCAGGAGCCAGGTGCTTCTCCTGGTCTCCCATGCAGGTGCAGGGCCCAAGCACTTGGGCCATCCTCCACTGCACTCCCGGGCCACAGCAGAGAGCTGGCCTGGAAGAGGGGCAACTGGGACAGAATCCGGCGCCCCGACCGGGACTAGAACGCAGTGTGCCGGCACCACAAGGCGGAGGATTAGCCTAGTGAGCCGCGGTGCCGGCCGCGGCAATCATTTTAACAACTAGTGAGTCTTTCAGTTTAATCATCAATCCTGATTCTATATTGAATTCTTGAGAAGAGTTCTTAACTTTCAAAGACCCATAGAATGTTTGAGTAGGAACAAAGTTAAAACTATCCACTAAAATTTTTATTAAAGATATGAGAAAACCAGAGAGAAGTGACCTGAGGAGGAACATATTACTAATACAAGACTGGGTATAGAGCCTAGGTTTTCAGATTAACAGACAAGGGTTTTTCTACTATGCCACGTTGTCCCTCTAAAGTAGGAAAACTTGCTACTTTTTGAATTTTTTAAAATATTTAGTATCAATTTTTATGTGTGCATTTTGGGTGCCTATCCGGCAGTTTTTCCCCTCTACTCTATTCATTCACATTTGCTTCGTAAGACTAACGTTTTCACACATTTAAACTTTCTTAGTATGAAAAACATCTTTAAGTTAATATCACACAATTTGCAGATGCCCAATTCCCAAATTAAGAAAATTATTTTCACAAATGACACAATATGTTACAATCTTGACTTCCTTCCTCAGTAAGTTTATTTTTTTAATCTTCCATTTTATTTTATGGTCTTACTTGTTTTTCCTATAGAGATCTGAACATTTTGGCAATGTCATTTACTCATAAACAGTACCTTTGGAAGAATTACAAATAGAAATACTTGTAGTATCGTAAAAATTGACACACTCATTTGAAATTCCCAGTACAGACTAATATCAATTAATTGTAACCCATTTAATGAAACCCTTGATGAGGTATTTTTATTGTATTGTTCAAAGGGCAATGCAAATATCTAAGATTTGAGGAATTTCTTTAGATATGCACTTCCTTTTTTATGTACTATAAAGCAAGCATAAAGTGATGCCAAAGACTTACCATAAATTTACATCATCCTTTTGACTTTTTTACAACTTGGAATGAGAATACATATTTGAGTAATGATGTATATCACTGACAGATATAGGTACAAAAGGAAAAATCAATGCTTTCTGTTCTCTAGTTACTAAAAACTGAACACTGACTGATATTTTAATAAGAATTGAGACCAATAAAGGAGATTCCTTAACTTGCTACATTTTCTCATATATTCTAACAGTGGACTGACGATATTCCTGCTGAATTCTATCTACATCGGCACATTTACCAGCACAAAAGGCACAATAACTTTCACCTGGGAGTTGCTCCGTGTCATGGTTTGGAAATAGCTTGGGTGTCCCCCAGAGACCTATATGTTGGAAGATTTGCCCCTACAGTATCCTTAATGGATTAAGGATAGAAATTAATCTACTTAAAATGAATACAGGACCTTGGAAAGTGATTCAATTGGATTGGGTTGTTAAGGTGGAAGCTTTATGATCAAATCATGGTGGTTTTATAAGAGACACATGGGCAGAGAAAACAAGCATGCTTCCTGTCTTGCTATGTGATCCTTATTCTGCCGACATTTCACTATCCACTGCCTTTATCAGATGCCAGACCAATGGGTCACCCAATCTTGGACTGTGAGCTAAAATAAACCATGAGCCGAAATAAATCTTCTTCCCTCAAAAGTGCCTAATCACAGGTATTATAGTAGTAGTAGTGAAAAGTTGACTACTACATTCAAGAACTATTTATTGGGCATACAGATGAATAGATGAAAGAAAGAAGAATGGAAAGCTATAAATAAATGCAATACCAACTCAATACAAATATTTGATCTAAGACTTTCCTAAAGTTTCAAAACATTCATATGAGGAAGTAAATATTTACTTTGACAGTAAAAATTTCTGAGTGGAAATAATGTGCCATTTATATGAAGAAATGATATATTTGTTTATGGTTGCTAAGAAGTACTACATAGCTTTGCAAATACCCTCACTGCCATTCCTTTGTACTTCTGCAGATGTTCCCATTAGTCAAGGAGTCTTCTGGTTTCAGTAGGTGTGTGTGGAAGAGGTCACAGTATTACTCATGCATGTAGGGACAGCCTGCATATATGGTTTCTCTAAGGCTCTCCAATAGTTATGGGGTAAAGACACAAGCTTATCTATATACTGTACAAATAGATTTTAAAAAGTTTGAAACAATGCTTTTCATTTACATAGCACTCAACTAGTTATATTATTGGAACATTCTGTTCTTTTCACATTATGTAGACATGTGTTCAATTTCCAAAAGAAATTTCAGTGTAGAATGCACATACCTTGATAGATCCAGAAGTTATGGGAATCAAAAAGGAGACAGCTGAATAAAGGTCACCCTTGTAATTCCTGTGAACAAATTAGGTCAAATTATCCTTCAAATATATGTACAAACAAGCCCAAGCCACTCCTATGAGATAAAAAATCAGATAATGTGGGGTGGGGATGGGGTTTGTAAATATAAGACAATTCAGTTTGCAATTCATGAGGGGTAAGGGGTTGGGTTTTTTTTTAAAGGATCTCAATGAAAATTCAAATAATTTTATGAACTATATTGCTAATATAAAATGTATTTTCTACCAGTTATTTTCTTATTTGAAAGGCAGAGTAACAGAGAGAGAGGTAGAGACAGAGAAAGAGACAGTTTCCATCTGCTGGTTCACTCCCCAAATGCAGGCAACAGCCAGGGATGGACCAGGCTGACAGCAGGAGATAGAAACTCCATCCAGGTCTCTCAAGTGGGTGGCAGAAACCCAAATACTTGGGCCATCATCGGCTGCCTCTCAGGGTCATTAACAGGAATCTGGATTGGAAGCACGAAGTAGCTAGGACTCGAACCAGTCACTCTGTTACGGGATGTGGGTGTCTCAAGCAGCAGCTTAACACACTCACCACAATGCCCAAGAATTTAGTAATTATAGAAGAGTTTACCTGGAGGAATATGGAATTCTCAATACTCCACAAAGACTTTCCAGTCTAATAATGTATTCATTCAACATACTACTCATTTAGAGATGAAACACCTACTGTTTCAAGTTTTCACCATTGTAAGCAATTTATAGTAATTGCAGTTTCAAATAAGATAGCCCTTTACAGTTTACAGAAAACTTTCATACATACACACATTGATTTAGTTCTCAAAACATCTTTGTTCTAAGATCCAAGACACTTAGATTCGGAGAGGCTAAATCGTTAGCACAGTAACATATATGATTAGTGGCAAAGTCAGGATTAGAATCTATGTCCTGGCCAGCACGGCGGCTCACTAGGCTAATCCTCTGCCTTGCGGCGCCGGCATACCAGATTCTAGTCCCGGTCGGGGCGCCGGATTCTGTCCCGGTTGCCCCTCTTCCAGGCCAGCTCTCTGCTGTGGCCAGGGAATGCAGTGGAGGATGGCCCAAGTGCTTGGGCCCTGCACCCCATGGGAGACCAGGATAAGTACCTGGCTCCTGGCTTCAGATCAGCGCGGTGCACCGGCCGCGGCGGCCATTGGAGGGTGAACCAACGGCAAGGGAAGACCTTTCTCTCTGTCTCTCTCTCTCACTGTCCACTCTGCCTGTCAAAAAAAAAAAAAAAAAGAATCTATGTCCTCTCACTTTTGATTCGATCTTTCCTCCAGTGTTGTACATGGAATTCTTTATTCAGTAGTTTAAAAATAACTGAAAAATATCTTCCAGAGCCATGCTTGGTTATAGGGCAGGAGCTGTGCCATTATATACTGATCTCCACTAATTTACTCCATTTGAGATATAAACTTCTTCCTGTGATTAATATACAGCTCAATATAAAGTCACATGGATATTTAATATATGAGTTTTACAAAAATCCTTGAACTGTAATGTAAATTGGTACAATCTTTATGGAGGACAACATGCCAGTAGGTACCAGAACTCTTAAAAATATGCACAACCTTTGATCCAGTAATTCTACATATATATACTTAATGAAGAAGTTATCAGGAATGTATACAAATGAGCATGTACAATTTTTTTCATGGTTATTATGATTATAAATATTGTAATTTTTCTAAATATTCAAAGTAGAAGTCTGGTTAAATAAATCATGGGACAACCATATGATTATTATACAGCCATTAAGTATGATATGGGAACAATTAGGAAATGTTAATTGTCATACATATCATATAATTTCTACCTAAGGATTTAATTTGCTATTACAAGTTATACCCTGGAAGAGTTAGGGGAAGGTGGACTATAAATTTCTCTTTACAAACACTCTGTGTGTGTGTGTGTGTGTGTGTGTGTATAAAACATGTTCTATTGACATAGAAATATGTTCGCAAAAATGTTAATAAATGAAAGAAGCACATTGTAAAGTAATTACAATGTGAGTTCCACTTAGAAAAAATATGTGTATGTAAAATATATATTATTTTATTCTGGGCATGTGTATTTTCTGAGTTTTCTATAATTAACATACATTACTTATACATATAAGTAAAATTATATGTTTTAGGTAAAATTTATATGTTTTAAGTTAAAGCAAAAGAAAATGGAAAAATAAAACTAAATTTTAATATTTCAATATGTTATGATTGACAAATAACCTTATAACTCTCTTTATCAATTATATAACCCCCAAACCTGTTAATTTTATATTTGAAGAGAAACTTCAGTAGTAAGAGAAAACACTTTAAAATATCTACTAGTAAATCAAGACAAAAGACAACAATGTACTTTTTAAAATGTATGTCAATAACATCATTGTCACCCTTGACAAAGATCAACAAGGTGACCTTGTAATGATAATAGAGTATCATATTATTACAAATGATCTCCATATCCAATGCACTATTTATAAATCTTTCATAATATACTGAAGTGGTGCTCTTGATTAGTTGCAATCTAATTGCCCAATGTGCATTTTTCATCAATGTTAATGTTGCTCAAAAAAGACATAGTTCTGCTCAAGTGTTCATATAGCTCCATAAGAGTGCTAAGTTAGATCTTTCAAGGGAAGACATTTCAGAAAGTAGTTAGATCCAGACTACAAAAAAAATTTCTGGCTCTTGTACCACATATACCAGAGAAACTATGTAAAAATTGGCTTCATACCCACCAGGCTGATTCTGCAAGCAAGCTAGCAAAGAATGCTTTAAAAAATAAACTGCCAGATATATGTAGCATTTTGCCTTGGTGAGATATACAGAAGACTGGGAAGCAAAAGGACTTAAAATGATATAGCTCTTCTCTGCTCACTTCTCAATTGCCTTCAAGCTGGAGCCTTTAAGAGTGTATCACTCCATTTATGATTAGAGGAGGCCAGTTCATACATTGATCTATATCAGATACCTTAGGTTACTTGCCATCACTTATCAGTTCCCAACATGTACAACTTCCCTCACCCTTTACCTCTTTATTCCACTCAAGAGTACATTTTCAAAATAGAAAATACTGACTCTTAATACAGCATGTGGATTAACTATTCTTTAAGTAAAAGAAATTAGAATGTTTGACAAGACGCAACGAAGTAATACATACTAGAGGCAAAAACATCAAGAATGACAAATGTGAGAAATGAGCTCACAAGGGCTGACATTCTGGAGTAGTGAGTAAAACCACCACATGCAGTATGGGACATCCCATATGGGCGACGGTTCGAGTCCCGGCTACTCCACTTCCAATCCAGCTCCCTGCTAATGTGCCTGGGAAAGCAGCAGAAGATGCCCCACGTGCCTGGGCCCCTGCACCCATGTTGGAGACCCAGAAAAGCTCCTAGCTCCTGGCTTTGGACAAGCCCAGCTCTGGCCATTTGTGGCCATTTGGGCAGTGAACCAGCAGATGGAAGCTCACTCTCGCTCTCGCTCTCTCTCTTTCTCTCTCTGTAACTCTGTCTTCCAAATAAGTAAGTAAATCTTTAAAAAAAATAAGCTCACAAAACTGACTATATGTTTTGGAGACAGGCAAAACTCAGCAGGCAGAAGCCAAAATCCCAATCTCCACATCTCATTAAGAGATCATCTGGCCTAGGCTTTAATAAATGCCACAATAAGTGCCACTGCATTTTGTTTGGTTCTACATAGAGAATACTATTCTACCTCTTTCATTTATCAGCTTCTTATTTTTTCTAAAAAAAGGATTAATTTTATTTACTTGAAAGGCAGAGTGACAGAGAAAGAGAAAGAGGGAGGGAGAGAGGGACAGAGAGAGAGAGAGAGAGACCTTACATCCACTGGTTCACTCCCAAATGGCCTCAAGGGCATGGGCTAGGTCAGACCAAAACCAGGACTCCGGAACATCATCTGGGTTTCCCACATGGGTGGCAGGGGCCCAAGCACTTGAGCCTTGAACTGTCTTCCACTGTCTTCTTAGGCACATTAGCAGGAAAGTGGATCAGAAGCAGAGCAGTCAGGACCGGAACTAACATTCTGATATAGGATGCTGGTATCACAAGCAGCGGCTTATCCGATTGTGCCACAATGCCAGCCCCAATTCTTAGCCTCCTAAAATGAAACTATCCACTAAGGAGATGAAGTTGGTAGTGAGCAGAAGAAGGCTCTAAGAGTGCAGTTCAAGATGTTGACATCAAACACACACACACACATGAATATGCATATATATGTGAATGTGCATCTAAATGTGTATGGATATAAATCTTTCTCAAATAGATTTTAGAAGTATAATCCCTACTGGCTTAAGATGTTTACATATTTTTCTTTTTTAAGATTTATTTATTTATTTGAAAGGCAGAGTTACAGAGAGAGAAAGGGAGAAATAGAGAGAGATATTCCATCCACCGGTTCACTCCCCAAATGGCCACAATGACCAGAGCTGGGCCAGTCTGAAGCCAAGAGCCAGAAGCTTCTTCCGTGTCTCCTACATGGGTGAAAGGGCCCAAGGACTTGGGCCATCCTCTGCTGTTCTTGTGAGCTGGACTGGAAGTGGAGCAGCCAGGACTTGAACCTGCACCCATATATGATGCCAGCATTACAAGAGGCAGCCTTACCCACTACACCACAGAGCCTGCCCCAACATCTTTTTCAATAATTCCTTAATCATACACTGATTATAACACATGTATTAACACAATTTCTACTTTCAAGATAACTTAGGCTACATATAGGTCATGTTTTACTCACAAGTTTATCTTTACATTTTGCTACAAATGCTTTGAAACCCCTAATGCTGTTTTTCTAATGCAACATGTACTGAAAACCTTGTAGAAAATAATTGTTAATAACAGAGACAGTTTCCCTATTACAATCATCAGTACTCTTAGACAATTAATGTTGCAACACTCTATATTGTCACTTTCTTCCTCAGGGCCTAGAGAACTTCAAAGTTTACATTATTGGCTGCAGCTTCTTTTCTTTCTGGCAATATGGGCAT